TAGTATCAAGACTTGAAAATACCCTCCTTCTGCAAAACTATTCAAATACTTTTACCAGGAGGAAAATAACCCCATCTCGCCGATACCATATATATTCTGATCTTGTTCCAGAAGTCAGGGTCCATCTGCATGTTTAAAAGGTGATGGCAGAAGAGCTGCATCCCCTCCTTGGAGATGGAGGGTTTGTGTTTGGCACAAGCTTTAGAACTTCTAAGACAGTGTTTAAAACCAAAGCCCAGATAGCATGAAACGTTGCAAAGATGCAAAGAAAAGGCTTTGTGCTAAATCTAGGGATTAGATTCAGTGTCAGCAATTAAAAAGAAAGTTGCAGGAGGAACATGTTTTTCACTTGCCCCAAGATATCTTTTGATATCTGCAGCCAGTGAATTAGTGCTCTGCCGAAACTCTTTGTTGGGGGAAAAATGTGCGAAAGCTGCTGGGAAACAGCTCGTTTCCATTTGATGCTCATAATTCATGCAGCAAGAGGGTTTTGCTGGCAGTGTTTTTGGTAGAAGAGCAAATAAGAATGATAGCTGAAGTGACTTGGGGATTACCGGACGACATCGTATTTATGTCGGTAGTGCAGACTGGTCCCAGTCAGCGGTGACCTTGTGCTGCTGAAGGGCCGTTGAGGGACCGGAGGAGTACGCCAGGTCCCACACGAGTCAAACTACAGACCCGGCTGTAGGAAAACCAGGCATGGGTGCTCTTCAGCGTAAGGACTGCGGGTACCAAGAGAACTGAGATAAATCATCTGCATCGACTTCTAATTCAAAAAGTTTTCACTATTTGAGCTTTTTGTTTTTCTTGGGAACAGGGAAGGGGCTGAGCTAACTCTCTAGGCTGTGTGTTTTACAGTAGATCTTGTGTGAAGCGTAAATCCTCTATGGTCTGTTAAAAAATACCATGGTAGGTTTTTAGACTGCCTCTTGCTCAGGACAGAACTGCATAGGTATAAATTTCAGACCATGGTGCCCTTGAATATCGAACCTGTGGCTATGTCTAACACGTCTGCAGAGAGCTTTTATTTATTCTCCTTTTGCTGCTTAGATTCATTTACATTCTGTAGATATCATGTTGCAGTGACACTGTACCTGACTGAAACAAATGCAAGTGGTATTTTTTCCCCCTCTATTTTTAAAATGCTGATTTGAAAGGACGGTAACTCAGAAGCAGTTTGCTGAGGTGAACGTTGTTCAGCAGAGTAGTTACTGGCAAGTCCGTCTGCAATGCTGGCGAAGGGATGTCATGAATAGCTTACAAATCTCCTCCTTGAGGAAGAAGTTGTGTATCAAATGATCTGCTCCTGGTTTGTCCGTCATTACTACGTATGCATGGAAAGGCCGTAGGTTATGTCCTTCTGAAGGATCTAATTATGTATGTCCTTCTGAATTACATAGTAGAAAGCAGCAGCGTATTGAAACAAGGTGTTGCTGCCAGAGGTGTCTGTGGACACCGAACAGCGTGCGTGGCCGTGGGTGAGAGGCTTTCAGGTGAACGCTTGCACCCACCTCTGCCATTTGTCTTCACTTGGGTGTTTTTACAGAGTTAAGATCATTCTCAAAACCTTGACTAAACATACAACTGTTAATCACATGGTTAAAAATTAGCTTTTTGCACATACCACCTTGCTTGAACAATTTCGCTGTGCTGCCGCCTCTCCCTGTTGATAGATGTGTTTGACCAACCTTAGAACAAGTATTTTACATCAGTCTTTACATTTGAAATGAGATTCCTTCCTTTAAAAGTTTGTCTTAGCTATTTGATCACTGTGGACAAAAGAAGATAGCTTTTACAATGACACTTACGACTTCTTACAACAGAAGCATTGCTGAGGAGAAGTGAGGAGAGGAACGGGACTGAGCCCGTGGCTAAAACCCGCTCTAATTGCAGCTGTTCAGCGCTGAGATTTACCCTGAGTAACCGTCTGTCATGAGATGCTCTGTCCTTGTCCTTCTTTCCTTATTTTGCTTCTGGCGTTTCTCTAAGAGAATAATGTCAGTATCCCAGGAGTCTACCACTGCAGAGACAGATATGCTAGAGTTTAAAAACTGCATTTCTGGGAGAAAGTCTGTCTGTGGCATTGGCTCACAGTGAAATGCCACGCAGCAAAGTGAAGTGGGGGCCATCGCATTTTAAGCAGTTCTCTTCTTTTTTTTTTCTTTTAAAGATGCGTGCGCAAGTGGAAGGACAAGTGGAGTAGCAGCCCAGGTCCCAGGGCTGGTGGTGTCACGGGTGTGAAGCACGGTGGGAGCAGAGGGCTGGGTGTCCTGGGACTGCGTTGTCGCTGGGCTCTCGTTAGTCACTGGAAGCTTGTCACTCTCTCGTTGGCTCATCTGTGGGGAACAGTCATGTTTGGGACCTTTTACAAGTGTTGACCTTTGGCTTCTCTGCCCCTTTTAGGAGTAGCATGGCATTCACAGCCACGCTGACGTTATTCCAGATGAGAACTCTGTAATTAGTTCATCCTCATCAACGCACAGCATTGCACGCGGGCTGTGTTTCTGTGCTCTTTGATTTTTGCACTGCATTGACTTGCCTTTCTTCCTTCTCCCACCATCCCCATTCTGTTTAACCCATGATCTGTCTCCTGAAGTAGCTACTTTGTTCTGCATCACGCGTCTGCGCAGGTATCCCACTTCCCCATTTGTTCATATTAATATATATCTGTAGGCTTTTGCCCACTCCAGACTTAGCTGTGCTCTAAGCATCTTCCATGCTGTTAGCCATCTGTCCTGACAAACACAGTCCCAGGAATTGTCAAAGCCATTACGTCCCTTCACAAGCAGTCGCTTACAGTTAGCAGAAAGACTTTGCATGTCGGTATCCACAGGTGCTAGGTCATGTTCAAGGACATTAACAGGGCAGTTTTTTCTTCTCACTGCCACGTTCACGGGGTCTGGAGAGACCATCGCTGTAAATCTGCTCTGCCCTCTGCTCGGCCAACTCTGGAAATTTGTTTCTGGCTATAAGCAGCACGCAGCACTTCGGGAGGATGGTGGAGAAGGCTCAAAGGGCATCCATGGAAGATTGCAGCCCTAGGACAATTTCTGACATCTAATAGTTGGCTTAAGCAACCAGCGAGGTATTTCAGATCTGTTCCAAAACTCTCTTTTAGTAGTCTAGCACTGGGTGCTCTGGGAGAGGCGACAGCCGTTTGCTCTGAGATATAGTGTATGCTCAGTATATGTGTTCAGTACTTGAATTAATGTTTTCTTCTTTTTTGCATTTTTATTTGACTGTTCAATTCCCTGGACTGTGAGGAAGGGGAATGTTGAATAATTACCCACTCCGTAATAAATTAGTGTGGAAAGGCAACGGGTGCCATACATCAACTTAAACTGCTGTCTGGTAAAGTTGCATTAATGTGTATAAATAATGTATATCTTTGTGGAGGAAGTGCTTTGTCTTTCTAATGAACAGTTGCCTGATTGGAGAGGCCGAAAGACCGTATACCCTTGCAAGAAAGGATTTGTTTTGCGTGTGCCTGGATTATTGAAGTGGATTTGTGATCCTGTAACTGCAACTAGGAAATATCTTTAGCAGAATACACTGAAGAATTTCAAAAGACCTTGTGAGAAATCAGCTAGCAGATGACTTTGTGGTTTGGGGACTGGTATCTCTTCCACCTCAGGAAGAAGGATCAGGATTTCTGTATTTTAGTATTTACATACGTTTTAAGGACTGATGCAAACTATACCACTGCCATTAAACAGCCAGTAATTCAGTTGTTGCTTTATAACAGGCAGCAAGTGTTTCACTGTGCGTTGTGCTCCAGAAATGGCTTGAAGAATAACCACAATAGCCGACTAATTAACAGCTAAAGCAAGACAGCAAAATCACTTGCATTTAACTGAATTAAAGATATGTCACTTAATGATGACATTTGTTGAAAGTCTAAAAATTGACACTACTTTGTTCACAAAAAAAAAAAAAAACAAATTATGCTGTATCTTTTTCGTATCCAGAGCAGATGGTCAGGGAAAGCGGGGGGGGCAGATCGGTATTCCCGTCCTGCTGCAGTGGCTGTAAAGCAGTGTCTCCCGTGTGGTTCTGGGGTTCACTTGGTCTTGGATGGGAAAAGGACTGGTGCTTAGGCGAACATCTGAAGCACTTCCAGTGTTCGTATTTTTTAACATTATCCTAAAATCCTGTCTGTTCCACAGGTGGTAATATTATAATATTATGTAAAGGGTGTAGCTATGGCCAATCTAGACTGTCCCAGGCCACGCTTGGTATCTCTAATCACGGAATAAAACTTTTCTGTGCCAGTGCTCAGCAAATTGGCATGCACAAGACAGCCAATTAAACAAAGGGCAGGCAGATAGGGAATTCGGTGAAGGGAAGCTTGTCCAGACTAGCCTGACATCTTCACGTGTACAGTAAAATACAAATTGTACTTGCATATTATATCAGTATGAGGCTGACCCAAAGTGACCTCGTGTGCGTGTGTATGTTCTGGGATTTCTGGCTTATAGGAGTCTGAATTCCTCACCATGACTGAGGTTCAACCCGTTTGTACATAAATGTTGGGGGTTTTGTTATTGTTTTTTTTTTAAATGCAACTTTTGTCAATGATTTTTTTTTTCCTGTTCCCTTCTGTCTCCTTTTGTCACTTAGCAGAAGGAAGTTTAGTTGCAAGGAAAGAGGAGGGGGAGAGAACTTCGCTTCTGTTCCATCTCAATGCAGTATTTCTCTTCTAAGCCTGCAAAGCGAAGCGTTAGAAAAACAATTCAGTGGGGGAAACATTTCACTGGTTGTTTTATACACTCACGCTGTCTCTAAACAGAGCATGTAGTGTATCTGTAAAATGAGCAGAAGCAGCCCAGCATCCTGAGGCTCACGCCAGTCTCACTGAGAGCAGCAGTCTGGAGCAGAACTCTTCCACCATCTCCTACTGGAAGATGTGTTGTGACCATCAGATGGGCAGCGAAATCCCTGCAGATGTGTGGATGGTGGCTGTACTGATGCCAATGTCTGTTCTTTTGTCTCCCTGCTAGCTAAAGACTTGGAGTGTGGATGAACTTCAGAGGAGGCTCTCGGCCCTGGACCCCATGATGGAGCAGGAGATTGAAGAAATCCGCCAGAAGTACCAGTCAAAGCGGCAGCCGATCCTCGATGCCATTGAAGCCAAGAAGCGGCGGCAGCAGAACTTCTGAGCCGCTGGTAGAATATTCTTCCATCCTCAAACAATCAGTTCCTTGCTTTTATGACTACTAAACGTAATGATTTCTATTGAAATACGCTAGTAAGATAGAGGGCAATACTTCTGCTCATTTATTTTTCCATAGCACCTTTGTAAACTCAGGAATGCCATTAAGTGGAAAATCCTGATGGTATGTTTTAATGTTAGACATATATTTAAAACATTATTCCGAAGGAGTTTTGTTACTGTTTTTAGGGGAATTGTTTTTAAATCAGAGGAGCGGATAGAAATAGGCTAATGAAAGTTGGCTTACTCTCTTTTCAGTTGAACTTTCAGTAGTCCATTTTGTTTTAAGTTAATATGGATTGTGGTATTTAACGGCTGCATCTTTTGTGGTTTTTGTTTTTCTTTGAGAATGCACAGACACAATTTCAAGCTGTTAATTGTATCTTTCTACTGTTAAGGTACTGGTAAGTTTTAGGTCACTGCAGAGAGCAGGTGAGAACATGTGCAAACTGTTCCAGCCTTTTGAAAGAAACTTAAATCTCATTTTTTAAAAAGCCTGTAACAAGCCTCATGCCTTACACTATGTGCTTTAAGCAAGTGTGGTTTCTTCAAGACCTCAGTTTTGTCCTTTTTTTGTGTACTTTACAAATGAATACGAGTAGATAAAGCGTGTTGTGCCTCCATCAGAAATTACATTCTGCAATTTAAAATCCACACCGACTTAAAACCAAAAGCCAATCGATGATCCGATTCCCCTTCGTCTGTCTCCTTGGAAATGTCCTTCAGGGAGACCCTGCTGACAGCGGAGTACAGGAAAAGGAAAGTGTGTTCGAATGGGTGGAAGCTGTGTAAACCTCTCTCAGGAATTAGGTACTTCTGCTGTGTCTGAGAGGACTTAAAATATTTCACGAACTGTGGAGATTTTTATAGGCTTCATTTCAGATGTACATCTTTAGATGCTTGAATAAAAACTTAATTTCACGATCCTTCACATTTCTGCAAGGTTTAGCACATCAGAAAAGTTGAACTGAAAGTAAAGACTTTGTTGAATTAGCAAAGATGTGCATTTATGGTGGTGGAGCGAAGGCGGAGTTGATCTGGATGAGAAGACAATTACTGATGTCCCAGTGGAAGAGATTCAGTCTCTCCCAGTCCCTCTGGATGCTCTTGTGTTCTTTCTTTAAATTTCCCTGCTGTCCCTGCCCAATATAGCTCAATCAACGAAAATGCCCCAGCGTGTACAATCGCTGTGAGGGTGGTGCAATGAACTCCCGCTGGTAGGGTGGAGAGTAAAACAGAAGCAGCGAAGAAGCGAGCCCGGTGTGCAGAGCAGAGACCGAGTGATGCCTCTGCCCCATGGGTTGTAACAGCAGAGTTACGTAGTTTTAGATTTATCTAGCATATGATGAAATATTTGGACAGAGCAAGTATTTCTACCGATTTATTATTGTTTTGCTCTGATAGAGGGAACAGTTTCCATGTCATTCTCTGAAATAGACCTCGGTACATCACCTAGATAATTAACTAAATAGCAGTGTCTCCTGAATCAAATGCTGCTAGAGAAGTGAAGTGTTCATTTCACGCCTCCGGAGGCTCTTTTTCCCCCCCTTGGAGCAGACTCTTGGCTACTGTTACCAGGTATACTCCTGCTGTGAAAGGAACCAAGCCATTTTTACCCCCTCTGCAGATCTGGTTGCATCAGTTTGTCTCAGTTTGATACGCAGTGCGAACACAGCTGTTCCGGAGATGGGCAAAGCAGCAGTCCCTGAGGGACGAGGGAGGCGGGGAGCAGTGTATGCAGGGTGCCGAAATAAGAGTATATCCTGGGATAACCGGCTATTTGATAGCCTCAAGTATTGGGAAAGTTTTGAATTAGGAAAACCAAGTAATTCAAAGCTCTATTGCTGTTAATGGACTAAAATCCCTTAGTCCGGACTCTCTGATGAGGTCCGGTGAAGTGCTGTGTGAACATCAGGGCTCATGCAGTGCTCATCTGAAATCTGTGCAATACGTTTTGCCCTAAACGTGTGGTTATTATGAGCAATATTCGCAAGCGTCCTTTGCATCAAAGAAACTCCCGCAACTTAGGAGGGAGTTCTCTGGTCAGGCGTTGATCTTGTGTTAGTCACTGGGATGGATCTGGCCCAACACCTCTGGTGTGACAGACGTGTGGATATGCGGTAAATGGTGCACTGCTTGCGTGCGGCGTGGATCAAGCAGATTCTGCTGGGAGTAGTTTTACCTCTGCACTGTGTATGTAGGTAACTTTCTAGTGATCGGAGGGCATTAGAAACGCCAAGTTTTAGGTGAAACACCACAAGGTGGTGTCTATTTACGGAATATGCAACCTGTGACTGCTGTAATTGAATGTAAGCACTCTTGAAATACTCTGCTTTGCTGATGTGATTGTCTTAAAATACAGCAAATGAACCAAAATAAGTAAAACTGGTCCAATGGCTTAACTGTCTTTGAACCTTTCTTAAATGCTTGCAGTGGCTGAGACTTGATGATGTTTCTTGCACTTGGAGCTATGATGCAGAGGAATTACTTTCTCCCTCTCTGATTTTCAGTCTGTTAGAGAAATTAATTCCCTTTTTGGTCCCTTTGTGTAGAGTGTCTGGGAGCATAGTACCTGCCTGCTTTTCAGAGTCCTCCAGGCTAAGACCAAGGCTGGTACTGTAAGGGAAAGCTGTTCCGGCAAAGTTTTTAAGCAAAAAGCTTGCTTAATTGTGAAGCTGCATTTGTGTGCTCCTTGGGTCCATCTGCATTGCTGAAAGTGTTCTGGACAAACCATTATCTTTGCTTCTAAAACCCAGAGATACTGATGGTGTCAGTCATGTGAGACTTAAAAATGTGAAGTTTGTAGCTTTAACTTTTTTTTGTAACAAAAAAATTAGCAACACTGGCATAAAGTGCTGACTTGAAATGCTATTTTGTAAGATCTGGCTGTTTGTATATAATAGTGTTGGGTCATTAGTTTGTATATGTATGAAATAGTAACTTTTATTGCATTCCTCTGAGTTTGATACAGGAGACTTCGATCTTTCTCAAATACCTTGCCTTATTTGTTCAAAGGGGCAAATAAACTGTCCTTACCTGAAGGCGACGGTGTCGTGACTCATATTTATGCATTAAAATACTCTGGTGTATTACTGCGTATCAGGACAAGTTTTAACATGACGTGCCTCCAGTCAACCAGTACTGTGTGAAATTCTGGAGGAGCATACAAGCTTTAATAAACACAAGCAGTAAACATGTCAGATACATTTTATTTTATTTTATTTTATGAAACAGGCAATTCCTTAGCTTTAAACCATTACAAACTCTGCACCTCAAGGAGAGATTTGCTTCAGCTGAGGGGCAGGTCCGTGCGCTGCCAGCTTGGTGGCAGTTCCGAAGGATGCGCGGTGGAAGTTCCAAGTGTTTGCCCCCAGCGAGGAGTGTTGTCAGCCCTTCCTGGAGCTGCGGTCCTGCGGGAGGGTCGTTGGCCCCAAGGAGCGTTCCAGCAGATGGGGAGGGTGGACTCTGCCGTAGACGCTTGCTATCTCTGCTCTGCGACTTTCCGGAGCCTGCAGTCAGGTTTGGGACTAAGTACGTATCAATTTATCCACCTTCCTACACAACAGGTGAGGCTAGAGGCTCGCTCTCCTCATTCTGGCTAACTTGCTGCACTTTCAGCTTTCTGGCTCGAAAAAAGATGAAGTTGACAGTGAGTGGGTGCTGCCTTCCAACAGTGAACTGTTGGCTTCTACGTGGTTTCCCTGAGCAGTTACTAAATCTGTCCTGAAGGGATGACTAACCGAAGCAGAGACAGAATTCATTCAGGAGTCAGCTTTGGTTAGCAATCCCGGAAGAAACGAAATAGGTTTGAGCTTTTAAATGTTAGAAAGGAGCGTGGAAATCAAAGGGAGGGAGACCGCGGGCATTTCTGGTAACCGGGAAAGCCTGCAGCTCTTGCCTACTCTCAGCAGCGTTACCAGCGTGTTGTGGACCCCCAGCACAGCGGGAGGGCTGGATACCCGGTGCGGCAGCAGCGCTGCAGCCGTACCGGGGCAGCGTTCACCTCCACCCCCTTCATGCTGGGAGCAGCGCACCTGCTGCACAATGAAGTGCATTAACCTAACAAAACCAACGCCTGACGAGTAGCCAAGATCTGGGGCTGATTTTTTTTTTTTTGCCACTATGGGGAAAAGTCAGCTTCCCATGGAGCCTTAGCACCGGCAGTTTTTCTCCTCCCGTAATGATTATCAGTACGAAGGTACAGATGTTGCTGTGCCGGTGTCCTTTATGCTCAACTACTCTTTCCTATACCCTCATTTTGTCCCATTTCCTCCTGTCCACAGGCCAAAAGAGTCTGAGCATGTGCTCAGATAAATGCTTTGAGTGTTGGCTGACAGCCCTGACTTGAGAGTTGACAATTTTTCGTTGCATTAATCACTCTGGCAAAATTTTAAAGAGTCAAACCAGGAAACACCCATCAGCTCTTTCCAGACTGAAAGTGACTTAATTGCCCTTTAATTTAAGAGTCCAGGAAGACAGCCAACTTGTTTAAAAACTTTAAAACGATTCAATTCCATCTACGGAGCACAGTCTGTTCTGCTCCCCTCTAGGCTGTCGCCGTTAAAATCGATACAGCGCTGGAAGCAGAGGGAGCCCGGAGTCCCTGAATCCCATCCAGGGTGGTCGCAGCAGCAGAGCAGCCTCTTGCAGACGCGGGGACGGATGAGCTGTAGGGCGGCCTTTCCTCAGCCCCAGGAGGCTCACAAGCTCTGGACCATCACTCGTTGACCGTAGAGGGGATAGCCTTGAAACACAGGCGGGGGGCAATTTTCCCCCTCTGCTGCTCCCACCAGATTCGAGGTCTGGCTGTGAAGGCGCACCGCCGGTGCTGTGCTCCCTGCACGCCTGAAGGCGTGTGACCTGTCTCAGCATATTTGGTTAATTTAATTCCACCCCTCCGAGGTTATTCATTTAGCTATCTCAAGTGGTTAGGATGAAAGCCTTGAG